AATTATTATTATTATTATTATCACATCAAATTAAACCAAATAATATGATTTCAAATAATTTTCCGTTTAATCTACAGTAATAGATACTTAATAACAAATCTCTTTTCTTTATCATGATTGTTTATTCTATTGTTACAAAAGCACGAGTATGTTGGTACTTCACATTTACTTATTTTTAAGTTTAGTTAATCTTAATTCTGCCAGCAAAATGCAGACATTCCAGTTTGGTCTTTTATTTCTGACTTGCGTTTTCGGTAAATTAACTTTACTATAATATTCTTTTCTAACATTTTTGTAAGCTCGCAAAGGCTTTGGTCCGACGGAACAAGAATGGGGCTTCGTCCAGGTCCGAGCTGGGGCTAAAATGTTCTGGTGGTTGCACCAAACCAGCGCCAACGTATCAAGTTACACCGATCGTCCTCTAGTTATCTGGTTACAAGGAGGTCCGGGATCTTCTTCTACCGGATACGGCAATTTTGCCGAGCTTGGGCCTTTAGATGCCGATTTAAATCCCCGAAATACGAGTTGGATTAACGAATATAACGTCCTTTTTGTTGATAATCCAGTGGGAACTGGCTATAGCCATGTGGACAACCCCAAATATTTTGCTACTACAAATGTGCAAATCGCTTCAGATTTTGTCGTGTTGTTGAAAGGGTTTTACGAGGCTGTGCCCGACTTGAAGAACACTCCGTTTTATATCTTTTCAGAGTCGTATGGTGGAAAAATGACCACAGAAATTGCACTCGAAATTGATGCGGTATGTGAAATTTTGTTAATTTCCAAAAAATAAAAAAATTGTAGGCTATTAAAAGTGGTTCATTGGATGCTAACTTAATTGGTATTGGATTTGGTGATTCTTGGATTTCTCCAATTGATTCTATTTTGAGCTGGGGTCCTTATTTACTAAGTGTGGTATTTATTTCTTTATTTTCATATTTCTTCTCTTCAATTAATTATGATAGGGAGCAATCGATCAAAATCAATACGAACTACTACAAGAAACAGCCGAAGAAGCGAAAAAAGCTATTGAGAACGGAAAATATTCAGAAGCTACGGACCTTTTCAATCAAGCCCAAATGATTATTCAAATAACGACAGCAAATATTGACGTTTATAATATTTTAACCAAAGTTTCGTCCGATTGGAATTTTAAAAGTATTTTCAAGTCTAATTTCCCTGTTTTTGTTTAAAAATATTTAACTTGTAGAGAACTTAATAATGCCTGTTAATGACGATGTTGATGACAAAATTTCGGTTTTAATGAATAATCAAGTGAAAGAAGCTTTAGGTCTTGATGTTAATTGGGGAGACCAATCAGTTGGCGTTTCTGATGCTTTGCATGAAGATATTACGAAACCGGTTGTTGAAACTGGTACGTAGTTATTAACAAATTAAATTAAAATTAATTTTTATTTAATATAATTTTAGTTGGAAGTATTTTAAATACTACCAACATTCAAGTAGCCGTTTATAATGGCCAATTAGACTTAATAGTAGATACTCCAGGTAAATTATTAACTGTTTGTTAGAAATTGATGTGTACAATAAATCTGCATATAATTAGTTAACAAAAACATGTTCTACTTATTTTATAGGGCAAATGCAATGGTTAAATAATTTGAAATTTAGTGGTTTAGAAGAATGGAAGACGGCTGAAAGAAAAACAATTGGAGTAAATGATATTGTTGAAGGTTATTACAAAAAAGTGGGAAATCTTGCAATGTACTGGGTTGACAGAGCAGGTCATATGGTACGTATTTTTCAAAATTCCGCAAAAAATAACATTATGGTTGTACTTAGGTGCCAAGAGATAATCCAGCTGCAATGAACTTCATTCTGCAAGACATGACCAATGGATCTTGGACAAAAAAATAAAAAAATTGCCCACTTAAAATAAATAGATAAATTTTCAAAACCAATAATGTTCTTGTTCCATCAATTTTATCCCACCTATACCTACCAAATACCTTAAAATTAGTTTACAGAAAAATCAGATGCATTAAAACTTCGAAAATACCTAATTCGAATAGGAATAACATAGTTTAGTTCTAAATTCTAAGTATTTTAATTTGCTTTCTATAAGTCGATCATAACTAAAAGACAATTTCTTTAATAATTGTTAACGTGGATATTAGGTGTCTTTCTTTTTTATTATTCCCATCAAAAAAACAATTTGAAAATGGCTAGTTTAAGTATAATGGCTGTCACTACGTGACTAACATTGTCACGTATTATATTACATAGTACTTTTCAACACAATATATTTTATCACTTATAAAGAATTCCAACATTTTTTCTCGAATTCCACCCAAAATGAAATCGCTAATCCTCGTCTTCTTTACCATAGCCGCCACTTTAGGTAAATTCATACTTTAAAAACTAACTCAACCTAATAAAAAAATTTTAGCACGGAAAGGTTTCGGTCCCACTAACCAAGAATGGGGCTTCGTCGAAGTTCGAGAAGGCGCCCATATGTTTTGGTGGTTACACAAAACCGCCGCTAGCGTTGATAAATATACTGAGAAACCTCTTCTTATTTGGCTACAGGGAGGTCCTGGAGCTTCATCCACGGGTGACGGAAGTTTCAACGAGCTTGGGCCTTTAGATGCTGATTTAAATCCACGAAATACGACTTGGGTGAACGATTATAATGTCTTATTTGTGGATAATCCAGTTGGAACTGGGTACAGTTACGTCGACGATTCGAAATATTTTGCTACCAATAACAGTCAAATTGCTAACGATTTTGTTGCTTTATTGAAAAGATTTTATGAAATTGTGCCTGACTTGAAACAGACACCTTTACATATATTTTCGGAGTCGTACGGTGGAAAAATGACGGCGGAAATTGGATTGCAAATTTATCTGGTACGAAAATAAATTGGAGTTAATCAAAATATTATTAATATTATTATTAATATAATTTGGTTCAGGCTACTAAAAGTGGAGATTTAGAATGCAACTTAGTAAGTGTTGGTCTTGGCGATCCTTGGATTTCTCCAATTGATTCAGTCTTGTCTTGGGGTCCGTATTTGCTCAATGTGGTAATTAAAACGTCTAAAATTATATGCAAAATTTTTCTAATTTTTTTTTTGAATTGTAGGGCGCCGTTGATCAAAATGAGTACGAAAAAGTACAAGCAAAAGCTGAAGAAACTAAAGCAGCCATCGAAGCTGGTAAATATGCAGAAGCTACCGATTTGTGGGGCCAGGCTGAACAAGTCATCGGTACTGTTACTGGCGGCATTGATTTTTATAATATTTTGAAAAAAAGTAAGATTACTTTCGATTTATTGTATTTTTTGTATTTAATTTGTCCACACAGGTGAAGAAGTAGTGCTCAACTCGAGCAACGATGTTGATATTAAAATAGCTACTTTAATGAAAAACGATGTTAAAAAAGCTTTAGGACTTGATGTTGATTGGGGTTATCAATCAAGAGCAGTGTTTGATGCTTTGCATGAAGATTTCATGAAACCAGTCACAGATATCGGTAATTAAAACATTAAATTAATTACAATAAAAAACACTGTTTTATTTTTAGTTGAACGTTTGTTAAACGAGACTGATGTTCACGTCGCTGTTTATAATGGACAGTTAGATTTAATTGTGCCTACGCCTGGTATACCTAACTACATAACTGAAATAGAACTGAAGGTTTAGCAATTTTTTTCAGGAACAATCAAATGGGTCGATAAGTTAAAATTTCCAGGTTTGGACCAATGGAAAATAGCGAGTAAATTAGCAATGATAGTGGATAAAATTGTTGAAGGTTATTACAAAAAAGTGGGAAATCTTGCAATGTATTGGGTTAACAGAGCAGGTCATATGGTACGTAATTATCAAAAATCTGTAAAAAATAACATTTTGGTTGTATTTAGGTGCCAAAAGATAATCCAGCTGCAATGAATTTCATTCTGCAAGACATGACCAGGAGATCTTATAGAGAAGAAATTTAAAAAAATGCCTTTTTAAAATTAATAGATAAATTTTTAAAACCAATAATGTTCTTGTTTCATCAGTGTTATCCTGCAAGTTCTTCAAAGCTAGTTCACAGAAATTTCATTTGCATTAATATTTTAATTCGGGAATACCTAATTCGAATAATAGCTTAAATCTAAATTCTAGGTATTTAAATTTGATTTCTATAAGTCGTTCCTAATTAAAATAAGATTTCTTTAGTAATTGTTAACGTGGATATTATCTACCTTTTTATTATTCCCATCAAAAAACAAATCGAAAATGGCTATTTTAACTATAATAGCTATGTACAAATATCGCTACGTGGCTATTATTGTCACGTATTATCAAGTACCTCTCGACATCATATATTTTATCAGTTATCAAAAATTCCAACACTTTTGGTCTAAGTCCATCCAAAATGAAATCGCTAATCCTCGTCTTCTTTGCCATAACAGCCACTTTAGGTAAATTCATACTTTAAAAATTTAGCTTAATACCTAAAAATTTTTAGCACGGAAAGGCTTCGGGCCCACCGACCAAGAATGGGGCTTCGTCGAAGTTCGAGAAGGTGCCCATATGTTTTGGTGGTTACACAAAACCGCGGCTAGCGTTGATAAATATACAGACAAACCCCTTGTTATTTGGCTACAGGGAGGTCCTGGAGCTTCATCCACAGGATATGGAAATTTCGCCGAGCTTGGGGCTTTAGATGCCGATTTAAATCCACGAAATACGACTTGGGTAAACGATTATAATGTCTTATTTGTGGATAATCCGGTTGGGACTGGGTACAGTTACGTCGACGATTCGAAATATTTTGCTACCAATAACAGTCAAATCGCTAATGATTTTGTTGCTTTGTTGAAAGGGTTTTATAAAACTGTGCCTGACTTAAAACAGACTCCTCTACATATATTTTCGGAGTCATACGGTGGGAAAATGACGGCGGAAATTGGATTGCAAATTTATCTAGTACGTAAATTATAATTAATCAAAATATTACTAATATTATTACTAACATAATTTAATTCAGGCTACTAAAAGTGGAGATTTAGAATGCGACTTAGTAAGTGTTGGGCTTGGCGATTCTTGGATTTCTCCAATTGATTCAGTCTTGACTTGGGGTCCGTACTTACTTAATGTGGTAAGTAATTAAAACGTCACAAAATGTATATGCAAATTGTTTTTCTGTATTTTTTTTTTAATTTTAGGGCGCCGTTGATCAAAATCAGTACGAAAAAGTACAAGCAAAAGCCGAAGAAACTAAAGCAGCCATCGAAGCTGGAAAATATTCAGAAGCTACCAATTTGTGGGGACAGGCTGAACAAGTCATCGAAACTGTTACTGCCGGAATTGATTTTTATAATATTTTGAAAAAAATATCCTCCAGTTTTATTAAAAGCAAGTTAAAGTGACATTAAATTAGATTTATTATCTATTTATTTTGTTCACATAGGAGAAAAAGTAATGCCCGGCTTGAGAGACGATGATGATACCAAAATTGCAATTTTAATGAATAACGATGTGAAGAAAGCTTTAGGACTTGATGTTGATTGGGGTTATCAATCAGGAGCAGTGTTTGATGCTTTGTATGAAGATTTCATGAAACCGGTCACAGATATCGGTAATTAAAACCATTAAGTTAATTAAAATAAAGAACACTGTTTTATTTTTAGTTGAACGTTTGTTAAACGAGACTGATGTTCGCGTCGCTGTTTATAATGGACAGTTGGATTTAATTGTAGATACGCCTGGTATAATAACTAGGTAACTGAAATCAAACTGCAGATTTAGAATTTTTTTTCCAGGAACAACCAAATGGGTCGATAAGTTAAAATTTCCAGGGTCGGACGAATGGAAAACAGCGAGTAAATTAGCAATAAAAGTAGACAAAATTGTTGAAGGTTATTACAAGAATTTAGGAAATCTGACAATGTTTTGGGTCAATAGAGCAGGACATATGGTCCCTGCTGATAATCCAGCTGCCATGAGCTACATTTTGCAATATATGACTAACAATGTGTAATTAAAAAATAATAAATAAATTGTTATCTTAAAAATACCTATGACTTTGTACAAAGATTTTAACGTCCTTTTTCTCACTGTCGACACTGTCGGCACCGGTTTAGTTAGGTATGTCTAAAATTTAGAAAAGTTGACTATACATAAAAAATCGCTGATTACTTTGATTTTTTTTACACAGTCCAGTCAAGTCTCAGAAAAGGTTTTCGAAACAACAAATATGCGTTCCATTTTTTTCCAGTAGTAATGAAAATGATTCTATAGTCCGTTAAATTGACTTCTTAGGCTGAGGGCTGGCCGAAGGGTGGAAGGGTGGTACTCAAAAAAAGATAGCACCACACATACAGTAGTTAAGAGAACTGCAAGAGAGTTACAATTATGTTGTGTTTATAAGTATGCTAAAAAGCTCTTATAATAAGCTGAATTTATCATTTTTGCTTATACCTGCAATCAATGTTAATAATATATTGAAAGAAATACATTGCAAGTAAGTGTAACAACAATGTTGTGCCCTAAAATAAGTTTCTTGCTACAAAAGTGCCAATACGAAAAAAAAGTTATTTTGCAAAAAATATACCTCAGCAGGTATTACAAAAAATTGCAATCAATGTCGTATAATTTAGTGAAATGAGCTCAAAGTTAATGTAGATATGTTCAAAATTATTCTACACCTTTGGCTTCAAAATTGTAACTTTTTCAACTCGTTCCTCAAAAACTGTGCAATCAGAAAGATTAATTTAATAATGAAAGTTAGCAGTTCTAGTTTTAATTTAATTTGAAAACAATATAAAAAGTGATCAAAAATGAATAAATCTGTTGACAATTCTGACTTTAATTTTTAAAAGAAACCACTATAGTATGCTCCTGATCAACAGCAATTTATCGGTCTTGAGGGGTTATACGTCAAGTATTTGTAGTGTTACAAATTATTAACAAAAATACTTTCAAATCTGTTGCCAATTTAAACAGTCCTTAATGATCACATTGATTCATTAACCGTCAGAAAAAAGTAAAAAAAAACACCATCGAAATGTAGACGCAATGTGTAATGCAGCTTTGCTAAACATTTTTTAATTTTTAGCAAGTTTATACAAAATGAGCATGAACAAAAAAGAACGCAAATTAATACACATAAATGAATTTGTTAGTGATAACTGTTGACCATTTCCATTTAAAAAAAGCAAACACATTACATAACACATAATTACTATGTGGCTTTCAAAAAATTTAAAAATAATAATTCTGACAAGATTAACGAAAATGAGTTAAGAAAACTATGATTTTGTCTGTGGGTTAGGCGCCTAAGTACATTAAAATAATGTTGAAAACTTTCCTTGAGGTTGTTGGGAGCCACTCAAAACCAAACAATGTTCAACTTGTTGGTCACGCTGATTATCTTTCGCACGATAATTCGACAAATAGGAAATAAAAAAAATAACGTTTTTCCATCATTTAAAAGTAAACTGACACGAATAAGTAGATTCAACAAAATAAGAAACACACAATATTTAACAAGAAACCATATCTCCATTTGTGCTTCTCTGCGCAGCTTTTTAATACATTGACAAACGATTTATTTTATAATCTTTCAGAAATGCTAAATTAAAGCCAATTAATAATAATAATAATAATAATATTATATGCTCTTTTAGAAATAACCTTTTTCATATTTGTGTAGTTTATAGCTACTTCAATTTTTTTATTAATACAAATTTAAAAAAAATCGTTCGTAAAATAAAAAATGCCGTAATATAAGTTGCTCCAAAATTTTTTTCTCGTTATTACTTATGGGAGATTTTTAATTTAAATCTAGATGGGTATGCAACCAACAATACCACACCTCACAATATTTTTTTTTTACTTGAGTTGAAAACATGTAATTGATTACGGCAAGTCATTTTTCCGTTTTATAAATAATATTAAAAAATCAGTCGCATCAATACCAAAGTAGCAAAAAAGCGAGATGAGTAAAATTTTATGCAACAATGGATGTAAAAATATCTTTATTATAAAAATTATACTCGTACAACTTTATAATCAATACAATTCACTGAATCAAAATTTAGTTAATTAATAAATTATATATTGTTTCTACCCTAAACTGGACAGCTGTAAACGTTTATACTTTTATCTTCAGACACTGAAACGATTTTTGTACTATCTGGACTAAACCTGACACCCCAAACCTACAATAAATAAATGTTTTAAATCATTTTAAATCTAAATAATCAAAATCAATTACTTGATCATAATGTTCCTTAAAAGTATGAACACATTGTTTAGACGCCAATTCCCAAACTTTAACAGTTTTATCAGAACTTCCTGACACAAAATGTTTACCATCTGGAGAAAATGCAACGCTCAGAACCCATGAAGCGTGACCTGATAAAGTCCCTACAACATTAGTGTGCTGTCTGAAAATTAACAAAAAAATGGTAATGTCTCTTTTATCCGTAGAAGCCACATACACGTCGTAAAGTTTCATATGGCCGTCATCTGAAGCAGTTAAAAGTAATTGAGAATCTGGAGAAAAACAAAGAGATCTGATAGGCATAGCATGGCCTTCTAAGGTATGCCATAATTTATTTCCCGCCACATCAAAAATATTTACAATGCCGTCAATAGCCCCACTCGCAATGTATTTACCGTCAGGGCTCTTCAAAAAAAAAGTTAATTAAAAATTAGTGCAACAATAAGTTATTACATAAGCTATGCTTAAAATAAATTTTCCTCTTGTATCCAAAGTTTGTTCAGCTTTTGCAGTTTCAACGTTATAAACTGTGATTTTCCCAGCATGTGACCCGGAAATTATGTATTTGTCATCAGGACTAAAAGCCACGGTCCACAAATCAACAGGACCAACATCAACATTTGCAATTTTTTCCCCTCTTTCCAAGTCCCAAATCCTCATACTTGAATCTAAAGAACTAGAAGCACATACTAATCAAAATATAACATAGCTGTTACAAGTGCACTACACACACATTTTCCGTTATTGCTGACTGCAACTGAGACAACACCAAGAGAGTGCCCCTCAAGATTATGTTTCAAAACAAGTCTATCATCTTGCAATTCCCACACTTTTACCAAATCGTCCACCCCACCTGTTATAATGTAATCAACGGGAGGCTCGTCTGACATTATGGAATCACTAAAAAAATCGTTTTTTGTTATGTTTTTAAAAAAAAACAATATACCGTGACTTTTCCTCTTCATTTTGGTCTTTTTTCTTTTTTTCAGTGGTGTAACGACCCCACGCACAACTCCAAATGCTTTCCTCATGTGCATTTTCTTTCTTGTGCAAAACAGAATACTGCAAACTATAATTTTAATTTAGAAAACAAATCATAAAAAATTACCATTGCGAAAAAATTAATGTGAGGTTATGGCGTGGCGTTTGCGTTTTTCTCGTTTCACCAACCTAACATGCAAAACTCCCTAAAAAGCAAATAATCACAAAACAATTTTCTCAAATTAAAAAACATATTAACGTGCATTTAACTTATACTACATTTATGTTTATCTTAAAAAATAATGACTTAGTTAATAAACATTTTTTATGTAAAAAATAAAAAATTAATAATGTTTGAATAAATTGGTGTGGTTAGTCTACTTTGAAATTTATGGTGGTAGGCATGATAGCGGATTTGACAATTACAATAATTCTTAGGTTATGTTTGTGGGTAAAAAAAATAGATGAAAAATGTCTGCAACGTTTAAAAATTCTAAAAAGAAGCTTATACAGACCGAATTTCGTCGTCTGATAAGTGAAAAAAGCAAGTTACAAAAAGACGTCAAAAAGATAGAGTCACCTCTTGCAAAATATCCTTTCATGTTCAAACTCTTTCTTATAATATTTTCCCTATATTTTCTTTAATAATAGATTAAGTATAACGATTCAGGTCAACTAACATGCGTCCTATGCAAATCCGTTGTAAAATCAGAAAACGTTTGGACCGTCCACATAAATTCAAAACAACATCGCGGAAATGTAGACCTGGCCAAGAAACTCAAAGAAAAGACCAACAATTTTACCACTCCCTTAAAACGGCCTTTGACACCTCCTATGGAGGTGCCCCAGAAGAAAATTAAGGGGATTTTAAAAAACTCAAATTCAAGTAGAAGTGAAGAAAGCAACGACAAAGATCTTCCTGATGATTTCTTTGACTCTAAATCACAACATGGACCTCCAATCTTACCCGTGAAGAAACCACCAGAAGAAAAAATGGAACTTGATGACAATACAGAAACTTTACCTGAAGGCTTTTTTGATGATCCTAAATTAGATGCAAAAGCTAGGAATCAGGAATACAAAGATCCAGTTGAAGAAGAATGGGAGAAGTTTCAAAGGGAAATCCGCGAGGCTGATAATAAAAGTGCTGCTATTATAGCTGAAGATCAAGAGGAGTCTACCAATGAGCGGCAGATTGATGAAATTGAAGAACAAATGAAGAAATTATCTAGGTATTGTGCCTTTAGTTACAGAATTTGTGACGCTTTAACGGTTTTTGCAGAGTTTTAGATTTAGAAAAGAAGAAAGAAACGATTATAACACATACTAGTGGTAGTAAAGTGGAGAATGAGGATGATTCCAATGAAGAAGATAATGAAGACTTTGATGAGTATTTGGACTGGCGGTGTAAAAAGGCGTTTAAATAAATTATTTGATTTTTTATATCAATAAATTAATAAATAAACAATAACAATAATATTTGGTTTTTGATTTCTGATTTTTACTTTCTGATTTTTAATTTTTGATTTCTGTTTTCTGCATTTCAAAAGTCAGAAATTTCAGAAAACAAAATCGAAATTTACAATCTTATTTTTGAAAAAATCCAAAGAAATCGAAATAATATATGGGAGCAACGGAATTTTGATTCAGGGAGGACCTTAGAAGTTTTCACGTATGTCTTCTATTAATTTTGAGTAACAGAACTACTCGAAATTACTAGCCGATGAAACTACTTAAGCAATCTACTTTCCTGGGTGTGTTAAATTTAGTTTAGATCTCGTAATTTCTTCCATAGTGTTAAAATTCGTTGTAGATCACCTAGATCAGCAATAAAAGCTGTGTTATTAAAAATATAGTAATTCTAAAATGAACTACTTACTTACATTTTTTTTTTTAATTTTTCACGAATGTCAATAAAAAATGCCACTTAATCCCACCTAAATAAAGAAAATCGATTCACTTAGCTATTTACAGGCGTGACGTGAATAAATGTAATATCGGCATTGGTGTTATCTGTTCAAATTATCTAAAATCTGTGTTTTTAACACGGTATACCTAGGTAATTAAGAAACGTTTATTATATTTTTTTTTTACTATTAATTAACCATAACAGGTCCATATTCAAAACGTGATTTTACAAGTCCAAAAAATAATATTTTTAAACATTCAGTGAAAGAAAACTGGGAACAAAATCTAGTAATAAAAGCAGGATTTTTTACTTTTGTTGATTCGTCAAAGAATATAATTCGGAAGTAAAAATAATATAAGTCTTTTTTTATTCTGAGAACAAAATTTTGCTTTAATTGTTCTTAAATAATCAAAGTGATGTTTTTATTAAATGGGTAAATAAATTGTTTTGGGTCTTTAATAGCGTTTTATTAAAAGTATTGGCAAGTATATAGGATATAGTTGTGAAAATACAGTATACAGTACAAGAGTATAAAGATATAAGCTTATAATAGATTGATAAAAATGCTTCAATATACATTAGTTTTATAATTTAACTCGTATTATTTTATAAAGCAAGCAGAGCTAAGCTCGTGTGTAATATCAATATATTATCATAATGAATAAATCTTACCTCTACGATTACAACCGAGTAGCTTCTCACATCTAGATTGAAACCTAAATCTACATTCGCCTAAAATAATAAAATTTCTAATTTGTTTTTGAAGAAGAACCTATGAGAAGTATATATTCTCAATGAGCATGAACTGTACTGTATGTCTGCTGTCGAACTGTACAAGAATGTTGAATAAAACCTAATTCGATGACAGTATAAGTCTGCAAATGGCAAAAAGTTTTCCCAGTACTTTTTGTCACTCGCAGTGCCTAAAAGCTACCAACATACAATCACAGCTTGATTTTGGTAGTATCACAAAATATTCCCAGTATTTTTTGTACCACCAAACTTAATTTAGTGAAATAAATTAAGTAAAGCAGATATAAGTTTTAGATATTTCATCAACTTTAATCCCTAATATTTCTAAATAACTCTCTAGAAGTGCTTGAACGTTTGAGAAACCCGTGCTTGAAAGAAATCTTTACAGAATAATATCTTACAAATAACCTGACTAGTGAATTGAACGTGATGAATGGACAAATTTAACCTTTCCTGGTCCCTAACATCACTATTACTACCGAAGTAAGTAAAAGATTGTAGATTTTTAAAGAGCGAACATTGCGAAGCTGATTACGCTTTGGGCTCTTGCACCTCGACGGTGACGCTCTCCAGCATGGGCGTCGTCGCCGAACTCAAATTGGCCGCTTGGGGCGGACTCTTGTTCGATCGGTTCGAAGTTGCTGAGGCGTTGCTGCTGCCTCGAGATCCACGACGAGATCCTAGAAACAAACGCCCTGTGGTAGGGTCACGATAATTGATCGGGCAGTGCAGCAGGACCGGGTGATTCTACTCTCTACCTTCATACACCCAGAGATATGCAAAGATGCGAAAGCAAAAGGTGCAAAGTGCTAAGTAGCCAAAATTAATAACCTTCTATCGTGTCCCAGAAGGCATTAAAGGAAGGCAGCGCTCATCAGATTAATCAGCAAATTTATTTATTTACAGCATGTTTATTGTACAAGTTTGAAGATTAGTTAGAAAGGAAGAGAAAGACGAGAAGATACCTTGAGAGTTTGGGGAGTGAGCTCTTAGAGATGCCATACTTGGCTGCCTGCTGGGTCCTCTGGCACTGCTTCGAGATCCTCTCCGGTCCGCATGTAAAAGCTTGTTTTCACGAAGCAGAGAGACGTTCATCAAGCGGGGGTTAGGTGTGTTAAATATTGTTCGGTTCTCCCTCCAACGTGCTCTGAAAAAAGAAAAAATAATAACAATTGGACTAGACTTAGTGGCGCAGCGAAGAGTTTTGGGGTTAAAGAGTTAAAAAATAGTTTAAATTTAATAGTGTTTGATTATTAAGTTGTTTCACAGATTAATACATATTATTATGAAACAATTTTGTTTTTCCAAGGCGGTCTTTGTTACAAATAAAACTCTTTAATTTAAGATATAAACATAAAAGAAAATGTGTGTTTATTGTTTAGAACGAAACTATAGTAATTTTTTACCACATTTATACAAAATGTTCAAAAACAGTGAAAAAAAACAGATAATAATTAATTGGTCAATAATTTACATAGCTTACATTCAGGGACGGACTGGCCAGGGGTCCCGGGGTGCCACAGCACCCCGGGCCCTCGAGTCCTACGGGTCCCCAATTATGGTAGACTTATTATGTCAAGAGCTCATTGAAATAATATCAATAATTTTAAATTTGCAAATAAACTTTCCACAATGCACTAAAAGGTTATAATTTGATATTGCATAAAGCTAACGCGTTTTTCACAGAAGCTAAGTGTGTTTAGTTTAAAGGAATTAAAAAATTGCCATCATAACAAATAAAACTATAATTTCTATAATTTCAATGATTTTAGCTCAATTTTGTTTATAAGGTCTTACACGCATGTAAGAAAAATTCCGCATGGATTTATACAAGTGATTCAAGAATTTGTGTCATAATTTTAATCACGAATACTCCTCTACAAATGAACATAGATAGCACAGTATTTATTAATCCAACTCATCAAGCAATAGAAAAATTACAGCTTTTATAATCATCAAGAAATAAACAAATGTTCCTTTAGATTTAATGAAATTTACATTAAATATGACAGCATTGACAGCGATGTCATTCGTAGTGGATTGTTTCCAAGGTACGCTCAAAATTTATAAATTCTGATTTTGCAGCGCGGTGTAGAATTTAGTTTAAACTCAAATAACTCTAGAACGGTACATTTTGGCGATATGAAACTACCTTTTTTATAATAAAAAATGGTTGGGCTGCATCAAAAACAGAAATTAATAAGCCGAAAAAAAGTTATAATCCCAAAACTGGGAGGACCCATTGCTACCGGAAATGTATAGCTTCTACAAGACTTCCGTTTACACCAAATCAAAGGGTGTCTTTTTGTCCTTTAACATGCAAAATTTAATAATAATCGGATAAACGGAAACAAAAATATTTGCAGAAAATAATTTTTTCATAAAGATTTTTGGAAAGTTGTAATTTTTTTGAGGTGGGTCAATAAATACTGAACTATCTATTCTAAATTGTAGAGGGGTATTCGTAATTAAAATTATGCCACACATTTTGTAATCAACCGATATAAAATATCGTTTTTACTTAATTTAATTTAATTTTAATTTTTTTTTAATTCTTAGTGGGCATAAATAATGGAAAAATCTAATATAAATTTGGTGCACAGAAACGAAAAGAAAAACAAAAATTAAAATTACAAGCAGCCTCTGAAGACGTTCATCTAAAAACTTTATTTTCGTTTATTAAACCATCATGATTTCAACTGACGTCACAATCTCAATAGAGAAAACAAACTCCTTCAAAAAAATTTACTACATTAAGTGATAAGTAGTTTTTATACATATTTTTATTGTATTGTATATTGGGCCCTCATTTCAACTTAGCACTCCATATAAAAATTTGCCAGTCCGCCCCTGCTTACATTTTAATAATAAACAAAATTAAAATTTTAAAATACGACACTCACGTACTTAGGTACCTACGTACATATTTTAAAAGGGAGTCAGTTGCATTTTAATTTAATTTTTCTGTAGAAACTTACTTGTTTTCAAAAAGAGTTTTTTATTATTGACATCAAAAATACGAAATTTCGATACCAAACGATAAATTGATTAATTGCGAAATCCGATACAAAACGATTTATGCATCCACCTCAATAAATCTAAACGGATACATCCCCTAATGGACATTTTCCATTATGGATATACTTTCGCTAAAACAAACTCTTAATTTCCTTTTGTTTAATCACTCGATTTGTACTTAATTACAGCGATATGTGTTTGATTAAGCTTCCTTTTGACCCACTTACAAACATATATTCGCAAATATTCTACTCCGGTCAGAATCAATCACTATCACCGGAAGCAATTTGTTATAGCGAACCAAAGCATTTCTTTTCGAGTTAATACACTACACAGGTGTTAAACTACAGTTTGTATCACCGACGTTTTAAAAATAAACTCTTTATTTGCATAGCGTATAATTTTCCTTTGCAAATCCTCTTCAAGCACAGGAGCTCATTAAATTTCATGTTTGTGCAAGAATTTAGTCACCGCGAAACATAAGCCGAGATAATGACTTGAACAAACTTTTTCGTTTAATGAATAAACATATCGTGTTTCTTTGAATCAACAAGCCGAGTATTGATTTTTCGATGCACTTCAAATATCGATTAGAATTTATAATTCGTCAATGGAGGGTTGACGAGCAACAAAAGCACTTTGTCGAAACCTGTTAGCCGATAAACGATTTAATTGAAATGAAATTATTCTGTTCAAAGGCCCGATTGTGGTTTTATTAGAGTTAATCTAAAAATTTGGGTTGTGCCACCACATAAATCTTTCTAGTTAAAACGGAAAATAGCTCGTTTTACCGTTTTTT